GTGTGTGTGTGTGTGTGTGTTTGAAAAGGAAAGTGATTGAAAACAATTAGCATATGTGTTCCATAAACCTCAGGTACCTTAAGACATCATGCTGCTCAAAGCTGATTCAGTCAATGCGGAAGCATAACTGAAACCAGACATTTTGGTAAATGTAACATGCTAGAAAAATTAAACCTGATGCTAACTGCCAATGAAATGATGACCTCTGATTGCTGTTGAGCCACACACCAACTCAGCCCGAGGCCAGTGTGCTACAGAGCCCAGACAGAAAATCTGGTACTGGTTTGCCATTTATTTGAGAGATGTGAGTTTTATATTCTCTCTCTCTCACTTGCTTCTCGCTCTCTCTCTGAGGAAAAAGAATGGAAGGCTTTAAAATTTAAATAAAAGCAATCAAACTATGCTGTCTTTAAAAAAAGATGATGCTTGGTTTGCTAGTGCTACATATTCATATTGAAGTGATTAGATGCATCTGTTTATTATAGAATGTTGTTATTTTGGACAGATCTGAATTTAAAATCCCAGCGTGTGAACGATCTAGATAAAAACAACAATACCACCACCAGCAAAGTCTCCTTTCCACTGAGCTGATTCTGGGTCGGAATGATCCAACAGGGCAGAGCAGAACTGGCCACTGGGTTGGCAAGGCTGTCAGTATTCACAAAGCAGACAGCTGCAGTTTTCTCCTAAGGAGCTGCTGGTAGGTTCAAACAGCAAATCATTCACAGTCAAGTGCTTTAACTGCTGTGCCAGCAAGGCCCTTTTAAACTCTGGATGTGGAAGGTGCTAAATATGGAAACTTGTTGAGAGGAGCTATCATGTATGTACCATTTGCCTATAAGCACTCATCCATCTGATTCCTTGCTGTATGCTCAACCCCTAGCACCACTGTGCAAAGAGCAGGCACGCAGCAAGTACTTGTTGAATGAAGAAAAGCACACCGATTGGAGACAGGCAAGGCCTTCCATCCAAGAACTGGGAACATGCCCTTGGCAGGCCTTCCCGTTGCTCTCGTTCTTTCTCTCTGTGCCGTCAGCCTCCAGAATCCCAGGCACCTTGGTGATATTACATTTACTGCCTTTGAAACTTTAGTTAAAAATAGATGTATAAGTAGGCATCTTATATTTTAAAGAGCTCTTCTGCAGCCAGCCCCAGCATAGCTCGTTTTATCAAATCCTGTCTCTCTCCTTATGCCAGCTAACATGTTGCTTAGCACAGATGACATATATAAAGCACCCCAGTATTAGAATGTATGTTTTTGTGTTGCCGGTTCCTTCTGAACAAATTCTTTTCTCTCCATGGATTTGTGAGAAGGGAGCAGGAGACAGACGTGGAAAGAAACTCAAACCAGCTGTTCCTAACAGAATTAAAATTGTGACCCCAACCTCCTTTCTAAAGCATCTACTTTCCAGCCAACCCTCTCCCAGCAAGCAGCAAGTTCCAAGAAGGAAAAGACTTTGACCTTGTAACCCTCTCCTCCTCTCCTGAGGTCTGTAACCTCAGATAAGGAAGGAAAAAAAAGAAAGAAAGAAAAAGGAAAAGCAAGTCTCGGAGGCCTCTGTTGGGAACTTCTTAAAGCCATTCATTTCGGCTCATTCTGGAAGGCTAGGGATATGTTGGGATGGGTTCTAATTGGAAAGATTTAGGAATCCATAAGGAGAATTGCTGCCACGTTTCTAGCCCGAAATACAGTTGTTAAGTTGTTTTGAGCTGCAGTTTTTTAGATGGTTGGAGGTAGGCGTGGGTGGGGCGGGAGTGCAGGGGTGGGAATGGGGAGCTATGGTGTCATGCTGTGACAATTTTCTCTCTGGGGACAAAGAACAGAGAAAGGGAGAAGGAGGGAATTGAGGAACTGGAAGAGGAAAAGCGATGTTAAAAAAGCATTTAATTCAAGGAATCAAAGCTGACCTGCAATTACACAGTATGGAAAGAATGCTTTGGGAAAAGCAGGGTGTCCGGATACTTTCCGTAAACTCATTTGGTTGTTAAGTCTCCACTGTTGGTGGAGAAGCCAGTCATCTCTAATGACTGTGAATGACTCCGTTATTGCTATTGTTCTCTGACATCTTGTATTTGTTTTCTCCTGTGAGCTTTACTGAAGACTTTCGGTTCCCAGGCAGAGGTCCTTATCTGAAGTATTGTTCAAGACTTAGGTTAGCGCTAATTAAGGGTCAACAGCTTTAAGCTTTGACCTGAAAATACTAAACTCACCTCTCAGTGAATTTGGTTAAAGGTTGGTGTGGTGAACCCTTATTCCTTACACACACACACACACACACACACACACAAGACCATTTTTTAATAAGGATGCATTTTTAAAATCAATAATACTTCATAAAAGCTTAAGTAGTCTCTTTGTGGGAGAAAGAGGGGTCTTTCTACTCCCATAAAGAGATCAAGTCTTGGAAAGTGCACAGGGCTGTTCGCCCTGTCCTCTGGGGTCTCTGAGTTAGCACTGACTTGGTGGCAGCAGTGACTTTTGTTTTGTTTTGAAGTAGCCTCTTTAGTTATTAAAAAACACAACACAACACTAAAAAAAGGTCTGTATGTTGTGTTTATAAAATTGAATGAGCCATAGAAAAATCCTATATGACCCAAACCTCAAGTATCTAAGTCAGGAATGCTAACTAAGCCTTTATACAAACCTACAAAGAATAGTATAAATGCCTTAGGAAATAGGCTAGCCTTTTTCTTTTACATTTCAAAGAACTTAATGAGAAATTATAATGCCATTATTGTAGTGCTCCCATGTTACAAACTTTCCTTCCCAAAAGAATGGCGACTACTCCGATCAAATCCATCCCGCAGCAGCTCTGCTGGCTCTGTCCTCCCTGGTGAGTCCACTTGTTCTCCAGCTGTCATTCTCAGGGGAGACCCTCCTGTCACTGTCATGGGGAGATCCTGAAAGACAGGCTCTCCTTCTCACTCCTTTCAGAAGCCACCTAGCCCTCTGTTTGTTTTCTTTCAGAGCCTGAGCTTAGTTTTTGCTTTATGCTTGCTGGTCTTGGTCGGTTTTGCAGTTTCCAAATAAGCTTTAACCCCAGAAAACCGGCTCTCTATCTAAGGCAGTGGTTCTCAACCTTTCTAATGCTGCGACCCTTTAATACAGTTCCTCATGTTGTGGTAACTCTCCCCCTCCCCCCAACCATAAAATTATTTTCGTTGCTACTTCATAAGTGTAATTTTGCTACTGTTATAAATTGGGCGACCCTTGTGAAAGGGTCGTTCGCCTCCCCGAAGGGGTCGCGACCCACAGGTTGAGAACCGCTGCTCTAGGGGCAGGGCTTTGAGGCTGATTGAAGAGACCTCAGCTTTAAAGCGGAAATGGCTCTGGCCCCATGAATGCAACAACAGTTAAACGCTGAACATCTCACAGATGGGAGCCATTACAGAGACAGAGGAATGGAAGCTTAATAGATCGTTAGGTGCCAAGATATATTCCTAGAAACTCTAATTTGTTGCTTAATACACAGAGTGCAGAACATACAGTTCCCTGGGAAAACAAGTTTTTATCTCAGAAACAGATTGAACGTGCTGAAAAATGTGCTTTTGATCTAAACATCCAATATGTATGTGAAAGAGTTTTTAAGGAGTTGGGATCATTACCGAATCCAAGTCTGGGGACAGCATATATGCTTCCAGGGGCCATAAACAGGTCAGCCAGTTTGTTGTGTGTTGCGCATTTTCTGTCCTGGTGGTACTAGATGCCCAAGTGATCTATCTCTATTGCCTTTTGTGGGGAATGTGTGGCTTGGGGCTGCACCGAGGGCGGAAGTAGAGATTCCCAACCAAACATACTGCTCTCGAGTTGATGCAGACGCGTAGCAACCCTGTAGGACAGGGTAGAACGGCCCCTGCGAGCTTCCAAGACTAACATGTTACAGAGTAGAAAGTCCGGTCTTTTTTCCAAGGAGCAGCTGAGGGTTTCAAACTGCTAACCCTGCAGTCAGCAGCACAACTTGTAACCTCTACATCATCAGGGCTCCTCTAACGATTTCCAGAGGCTTGATACAGTTTGCACTTACCACCAGTGGAGCTGACTAATTGGTGACTAGCCTAGAAATTTCCTAGAAGGCTGGCCATTGAGTTGTTCCCATGTCAGACTGCTTATCAAGTAGCTACTGGGTCATAGGCCCACCACCTATCTGTTCTGTTTGGTGGCTTACATGTTGCTGTGATCCTAGAAGCTATGTCACCAGACCGTCAAAAACCAGCAGAGTCACCCATGGGAAATACATATTTGTGGAGCTTCTAGCCTAAAACTAGCAAGAAAGATCTGGTGATGTACTCTTGGGTAATTAGTCAGGAAAACCTTCCTGCTTACCACTAAATACTGGCTTATATAGTTCTGGAAGATGAGGCGTCTAGATTGGAAGACAGGCAGACATCTCAAAATCCAAGAGATGGGGCAGGTCTGGGAATCACTGTGATTTAGGGAGGAGGAGAAAATGCCAAACAATACAACACAGCAAGGACCGGGCTTTGCCAGGGAAG